ATCTGCTCCCAGTACTGGTGACATACTGTAGGTATACCACTGGATCTTATATGGAAGAAAAATATTCAGTAATTGAAATAAAACAAATAAGTTAATTAAATAAAACAGAAGCAAATCACAGTAATTAAATCCCTGTCCACCAGAGCTAAAATTCTGAAAGGTCTGTGGTTTTGCTAAATGAGATTATTTACAGACAAATCTATACAAATCATCATGCTTAATTTCTCTGGATAACCCAAACTTTCAGGGAATTGACATACAAAAATTTTAGGCCATTGTACAGAACAAAAAGTAATAAAATAAAAGGATTTTAGGAAAGTTAGCTCCTTTGTTAAATAAGTCAGGAAGATAACATTTGATGAAGCATTTCAATAACCTCATTTCAGATCAAATTGAAAAATAAAGTGTCAATATTTACAAACATTTCAGAGTCATTATAACATCCCAACTCTGTGGTTCAAAGCTTTTAAGTTTTTTACCTTTCACCTTCGAGTTTTAAGCACTTCAATCTAGCCAAAACTTTGCGAGACGAGGCCGATATCAGCAGGTAACGGCGTCTATGGGACACGGCTCGAGGCGCCTTTGCCAGGTCAGCGCAGGTATTCCTCATCGCTCATGTCCGAGTCATCGGCCTCCACCTCGCCCTCAATCACCGATTTCTTTCCTCGACAACAGGACACCACCAGGCCAATTAGGAACACCTGTGGGCAGGAACAAGATCAGGTTGTCCAATTAGAGTGAAGGAGCCCATGAGTGACGCTCAAGAGCGTACATTATGAAGTGCCGATCGATGGATATCCATCACCGATCCACTCACCACGATGAAAGCCCAGTTCCCAAAATAATAGATGGTGCTGAAGAACCAGAACTTGTGGAGGAACAGGTAGGACCTTGTCACTGTGCACTGGTCTGGAGAAACAAGAAGAAAAAAGTGGTGTGAGATTGGAGTTACACATCATTTTGGGGAGGGTAAGGCCAAAAACACAACCAAAGATGTGTCTTCTTTCATTCAGGAATCCACAGGACCAAGGCATTCAACCTCAGGAAAATACAGCTGCTGCTCTCCTGCAGCACTTCCTGTTAACACAAGTACAGGGACTGCAGAGATAACCCTGTGATTCATTCAGCCCAGATTATTACATATTCCAGAGAACCAAACAAAACATTATCGGTGAAAGCACCACACACACTGCGCAAGTTCAGAATATACTATCGAAAACAGGCAGTGATAACAGCTGGATGAGTAAATCTCTCAATTAAACCTCACAAACATCAAAAGAGATTCGAAAGCTTTAAGGAGATACCACAGCACCATAAATGAGGGACGACAACAATAAATCAACTTATTGCCCTTTTATATATTCTGATAATGTAAAAAAAATACTAATTTTGTTGTCTTTTCTTACCATAGATACACTACAGGTCAAAAGTTTAGGGCCACCCTCAGATTTTTGATGATGCACCAAGTGCAATGTGACCCCTTGGTTTTGGGGATGGCATTTATACAGCATGCCTTCTTGTTACATAAAATTGTTCACGTCCAAGTGACATAAACTCATGTAACACAAAGGCATTGGAACGCAATTATAAAACATTGTGGTCAGTGATCAATCAGTCAAGACAGCTTTAAATTGTGGTCTGAGGTCTGGAATTCACCCAAAACCTACTGACTTCCTATATTTTATGCACTGAAGTCATTTCATGTGCAAAAAATAAGGAAAGAACAGTTGATGTGATTTTTTTTTTAATCTGAGGGTGGCCTCAAACTTTTGGCCAGTAGTGTATTTTTGTAAAAAATGTACAGCAGGTTTGGTACTTTCTTATGACCAGAAAGATGGATTTTTCAGCGGGTTAAAAATGCATCAGAGCTTTCAGCTGTTTTATACAGACATAACCATGTCCCTGACACCTTGATTGCACTCACTTATAAGTATCTTTTCTTTTAAAAGAGGGTAATTTTGATTTGAATGGATTCTCGCTCTCAGAAAAAAAGAGAATAAAATCCGCTCTCATAAACACATTAAAATCATTTCTTTCCCCAAAGCAATTTGTCTTTCATTTTCTTTATTCCAGAAGATCTCGGTATAATGGCACTGAAGCAGCACCCGCAGAAGTGCACAGGCGGAGACGCGCTCGGATTCGCTGTCGTTAATCTCCCAGAAGCCCCCGAGGGAAGCAGCCCGGCCCGAGACTGCGTAAAACACTGAGTGCAGCCTGGCAGGGTATCGTTCGGTGGGGCACGTCGCCTCAACCACACGGTCCTGGGCGAGTCCGTGTGCTTCGAAAACAAGCAAGGGATGGCACATAACCAGGAAGTGAAAGTCTGAGGCCCTGCTGTGATGACCAAAACACAGGAAAAGTACAGAAAGGACTCTGTTTTGAGCTTTTAATGTGAATGGATATTAAGTCTGTTTGGTCTGTTCTTACTCCTGTGTAGGGAAACAAGCCATTTTGGCACGGTCAACACATCAGCGTACTGCTCAGTACATCAGAAAACTAATCCAGCATTGAGATGAACACAAAATAAAGGTTATAGTGTGCTGTGATCCGAACATAAAAGCAACTGTACAGTGCCGTCAGTGAACAGGACTGGTTATTGCCCGCTATAGTCAACATGCAGGACAGGCCATTTCTAAAATGATGAATTGGGATCTAAAACCAGGCGAAAGGGGCATACGAGGGTGTTCATTGAAGTTTGTCGTACACTGGGTACTGCCAGAATGTGTACTGAAATGGTGTTGGAAAGGATGTAAATATTTTCAGTGCTATTTTCAAAGGAGTTTATGAATCAGTGGGTAACTGTAAACTGTGGTCAGAATATAGGATATATTACTGATCAATGTGATCAGGTATTCGGACGCAGCATATTGCCTGAAGATACAGTGCGTGTCCGTGACTGGCAGCAGAGCTGCAGAGAGAACGGCGGGAGGCGATAAGAGTCCATTACAAATCCACAGACTGCTCGTCTGAGACCATCAGAACCACTCCGACCCATCTCACACGCCAGCAGAGAGGGAGCCTCGCCCTAGAGTTCCTGAGATGCACAAGGATGTGAGACAGAGAGCGCTATGCACTACAGCATGGGAGACGGGGTAGCATTAGCCCAGTCCACTCACCCTCTCCCTCGCTCTCTCTCCCCCTCGCATAAGCTTGCCCTCCCAGCTGATGCAGCCATCTATAATCACAGCCTACAATCAAGCTAGGACTGAGTGACCCCCCCTAATACACACTGTTGACAACCCCCCTCCACACATAGCTTGATAGCAGAAGTAAGGGTAGATATGAAAGGCTCTATGCTATATGACCAGCCCCCCTGACCACTGACCCTCCCACCAAAGTACTTCACTCCCTCTCAAGTAAACCCAGCACTAGCATGGCTTAACCCCCCACCTGGGAGATGGTTATGGCGGGAATGTCGGGGAGCACGCTACAGCTGGGCAGAGAGGCTTCAGACTTTTCATTTTTACTGCACCAGCATAAAACTCCAACACCCTTCCTCTGGCTCCAGCAGGAGCACTAAAATTACTTGCCATTTCCTGCCTCAATAGCGCAAAGCGGCGACATCGGTGGGCTTCGTTCAGTCATGGAAGACCCACGAGTGCCTCTGGATCATCACCAGACTGTAGCATCCTGGAACTTTCCACTCGGCAGCATTCGAAAAACAGGACAGCTCGCTCTTTTTTTTTTTTTAGCCTGTAATACTCCAATTAAAGTGAGATTAAGCCATTTCACCACCATACCAGAGCGAACGAATCACTGCAAACACGGGATTCTGTAAGCCGTCCTGAGGTGCGTATTCAGGTTATTCACACAAGAAGCTATTCTGGTCTCTCGATAAACACAAAAACCCACACAGTGTCCCAGAGGCTAATTACCAGAGCAAACAAAGCTAATATTCCATAATCCTGAAGGATATTTGAAGGTCTTTTCTCTAGTCGATGCTATATTAGCTCTTCACCACAATGAAGTACATTTTTGGCTTTAAAGAAAAAAAAAAAAAACACCCTTTCATTTGCATTCAGGGTTGGTACACAAAAAGATAATTACAGGGTGCAACATGTGGAAATAGCTAGTAAGTGTTGTATGGTTTTGTGTACATATCCAGTACGCTCACAGTACCCGAAGAATTCGAGAGCACGTTCCTGCACATGCTAGTTAGTGTCATTGTGCGTTTAACCCTGTAACACAAGCTCTCTGCATGCCTGCATGCGTGCGTGATGTACATGCAACTGTTAGCACTCTTGCTAAAGATGAGAGAAATAAGGCGAAATAAATGTCATGTGATTTATCAGCATGACCTTGCTCATATGAGATAAAACCAACCGCCCACCAAGATAAAGCTACTCAAAGAAAAAACACTTATCAATGAGTATTTTTCTCCAAAACACGAATCCCTGTTATTGGCAGCACTGAAAATTCTTATGAACAAAATCCGATAGTAGAAAAAACCATTGACGTTATCTTTTAAAATTTCAGCACAAACTGTACAAACTTTTAAGTGGTCATCAATAACTTCCGTTTTTCACGGAAACTATGGGCTGACTCAGATGATGAGCTCCCTTAGTCATTCATCAACAGGAGCAGTGTCATGGAGGACAAATAGCTGTTGACCTTCATATATGAGAAAATGTCTCTGAAATAATGGCTAAAAGCCTGGAAATTGGGCGGTAATTAAAAGGAGAAGTGGAGAGAACACAAGAGCACTTTACCCCCACACACAGTAATGGGGTCGTTGGACAGTAATAAAACTTCTCAAAGGATAACCAAAGGCTACATATTGGGGAAATCGAGTCCAAAAACTACATTAAGACACCATCTCCATTTCAAAAAGCTAATGGCCAGGCCTTCCACCATAAAATAATAACGTTGATTTCTTGGCAATAAACTTTTAGGAAGCCAGACCTGCAGGGTGCGGACTTTATTATATTATTTTGGTTCATGCCGATCTTCCGGCACCTGTATATGAGTGGATGTGAATGCTCATTCCACCATTATATGGCGGCATGGTGGTGCAGTGGTTAGCACTGGTTAGCACACATTTTTACAGCAAGAAGGTCGCAGGTTCGAACCCGGCCTGGGGCCTTTCTGTGTGGAGTTTGCATGTTCTCCCTGTGTTCGCGTGGGTTTCCTCCGGGTGCTCAGGTTTCCCCCACCCACAAAAACATGCATCATAGGAACAATCCAACCAGTACCCTTGACCAAGGAACTGGCTTGAGAACTGGAGTTGGTCCCCGGGCACTGCTCTGTGGCTGCCCACTGCTCCTAACTATAAGATGGGTTAAATGCAGAGGACAAATTAACCCATGGGGTTCAATAAAGTGCATCTTATCTTATTATATGTCATGGGAACCAGCAGGTCCCATGGAAAACACAAGCAAAAAGCTTTTTTTAGCCACAAATTCCAGAGGTGGATTGAATGTTGAAGGAGGGATGGCTTAGGAGGAAACAAATTTTCCGTTGTGAGGTATGGCAGTCTGCCTGATGCTATGGGAGCATTTAGCATCAAAGGCCCTGAAGTCATCCTTAGGAAATGAAAAGCCGGGCACATTTCCTGAGCACATTTCATTCAGAATGTGATTCAAAGAGTTTTACATCAGAAGGACGAATGGCATTATGGACTCTTCAGGAGCCTGGGAATTTTTGACCAAAATTAAGTTTCCTGCCTCAGTTGCCAGGAGGCCATTTCAAGACCAAAGACTCTGATGGATGTAAAGGTGGAACACTCTCAGATATCTTGAAAGCCCCACCTAAACAAACATTGAGTCAGCTTTTAATAGTCTGAGGGCAAGAAGATTTAAGACATTATCATGCAGTCATCTTTCATTGCAGTATTCAGGATGTACAGTAATTCTTAAGCACTCAGGATGCTGACACTCAAAGCCCTCATTTTGAAATGCAATCATTCCTGATAAGAGCCTCTACATTTCCTCACTGATATCTTCAGTTAATCTGACAGCAGTACAACACACCTGTTGTGCTGAACAACACGAGGAATGAGCGTCATCCAGCCAGAAGAACAGCCCCCACACATTTAACGAGCATGATGAAGCGATAACGTACAGCCGTTCTGGCTAATTGCTTGGATGCTGCACTGAGCGAGCTTGCAGCAAGAGCCCTGGATTCCACACGCATACACGGGCCTTTTGGCGGTTTCTGGAGAAAAAAAAAAACGTTGCGTTGCTCAGAAAAACAGCACCTCATCAATGAGGAAACGCATGTCCCTTTCGCAGAATGCAAACGACAAGCCGCGTAGATAACAAAGTCCTCACATCTTAACAAAACACAGCAACGCGTGGAGGCTAAATCTCATGAATGAAATATTAATTTCTTGAACATCATTTACATCCATGAAATGAAGACTGTAAGCATACGGGAAAGGACACAATTTTAAAAGACTAATATCCACTTTGTTTGGCTGTGCATGCCTCCAATTTATGTCAGTTATGTTTTTTTAAGTGTCTTTGTTACCGAGTTTCATTAAAGCATAAAAACTTTGAACACAAGAAATATTTTGAGAGTATTTACATTCAGATCAAGTGAGCCATGCATGAATTACAGCCCTTTAAATTTGAGTTACTGTCTAAATACATATACACAGTGCTAAAAGACACCAGCATACTGGCAGTAGGGCATATTCAATAGGATGCCATTGCCCAGGGACAATAAATCAATTCAGAAGGATAAATGGGAGTGAGAATAATGATAGAGGTTGCAGGTTTAATTCCCAGGTGCGAATTTGCCGCTGTACCCTTGAGCAAGGTGCTTAACCTAAATCACTTTTGTTAATATCAAGGTTTAGAAATTAATTGCAGGTGAAAAGCAAGCTGAGCAAGTGGCCCTGGAAGGCCGCGTTTTGCTGAATGCATAAAACTTCATGCAAATAGGACAAGGACCTCACCCACAAACCCACACAGACAGGCAAGACAATAAAATAGAGTTTATAATGGTTAAAAAAGCAAGATATTTGTGGCACCAGCTACTAGCCAACAAGCACTTTCTCCCATTTCAGAACCTCTCTGCAATGTACACCAGCAGAGTTAAAGAATTCACAAGCTGAGCAGTCAGGCCACCAAATTCCAAAGCAGTGGAATTCATATAGCATGTAGCGAATTGACTAAAACACCCAGAATAAAACCCACAGTAAATACCACAAATACCTACTGCCGTGAGCCACAGTGGTAATGAAGAGAGAGTGTGTGTGTGTGTGTGTGTGTGTCTGTGTGTGTTTTTGTACGTGCTGGAGACCAAAATACCTCACAAACATAGTAAAGTCTGAGAAACCATGCCTCGTGGGTACCTTTTCTGAGTCCCCTTGGGTACGAATCTTTATTCAGGGTTTAGGGCTAGGTTTAGGTCTAGGGTTGATATTGGAATTATGGTTTGGCTGAGGTCTAGTTAAAGGTTAGCTATTAAAATTACGCTCTAGATTAAGGTAAGACCATAAATTAAGGTTAAAGGTTTGGCTGTTTTGGGGGGTGCGTGGGTTAGGATTAGGGTTAGCTCTAAGATAGAGGTTAGGGTTAGGGTTAGGTCTGGGGGGATGCTAATGGGATTTTGGAGCAAAAATACTTTTTTTAGTCCCCACGGGAATACAAAAACAAACGTGTGTGTGTGTGTGTGTGTGTGTGAGTGCATGTGAGTGCGTTTGTGTGAGAGAGTGGGGGTGTGTCAGGCCACGCCCAGTAAGGTAAAATGGCCCTTAGCATCTGTAGCTGTCTCACTATGATGAAAAAGTGAGAAAGGGATAAAATTTGCCTGTCTAGAGGGATGCCGTACATCCATATGGAGGGAACAGACTGGTCACACAGGGGACGGGTAAACAGAGCAGGGACTGCTAGCAACCCTACCAATGCCCAAAATCACCTACGGGACTCCTTCTGCTGTGAGCCTGACTCCCTTTGCTATCAGTAACTCTCGGTGGTATGCTCAACTCTGCTCGCTATACCAGACTCAGTTGGTGATGCCTGCTCCGCTGTGATACTGGGCTCAGGTTGCTATGCAGTGCTCTCTTTGTTATGCCGAGCTCTCTCCGTATGCTGTGTTGTGCTCTCTTTGCTATGTCCAGTTCAATCCGTATGCCATGTCGTGCTCTCTTTGCGATGTTGGGCTCTCTCAGTACGCTGTGTTGTGCTCTCTTTACTGTGCTGGGCTCTCTCTGTATGCTGTGATGTGCTCTCTGTGCTATGCCGGGCTCTCTCTGTATGCTGTGATGTGCTCTCTTTGCTATGCTGGGCTCTCTCTGTATGGTGTGTTGTGCTCTCTTTGCTATGCTGGGCTCTCTCTGTATGCTGTGTTGTGCTCTCTTTGCTATGCTGGACTCTCTCTGTATGCTGTGATGTGCTCTCTGTGCTATGCTGGGCTCTCTCTGTATGCTGTGATGTGCTCTCTGTGCTATGCCGGGTTCTCTCTGTATGCTGTGATGTGCTCTCTGTGCTATGCCGGGCTCTCTCTGTATGCTGTGTTATGCTCTCTTTGCTATGCTGGGCTCTCTCTGTATGCTGTGTTGTGCTCTCTTTGCTATGCTGGGCTCTCTCTGTATGCTGTGATGTGCTCTCTGTGCTATGCCGAGCTCTCTCTGTATGCTGTGATGTGCTCTCTGTGCTATGCCGGGTTCTCTCTGTATGCTGTGATATGCTCTCTGTGCTATGCCGGGCTCTCTCTGTATGCTGTGTTGTGCTCTCTGTGATATGCCGGGCTCTCTCTGTATGCTGTGATGTGCTCTCTGTGCTATGCCGAGCTCTCTCTGTATGCTGTGATGTGCTCTCTGTGCTATGCCGAGCTCTCTCTGCATGCTGTGATGTGCTCTCTGTGCTATGCCGAGCTCTCTCTGTATGCTGTGATGTGCTCTCTGTGCTATGCCGGGCTCTCTCTGTATGCTGTGATGTGCTCTCTGTGCTATGCCGGCTCTCTCTGTATGCTGTGATGTGCTCTCTGTGCTATGCCGGGCTCTCTCTGTATGCTGTGATGTGCTCTCTGTGCTATGCCGGCTCTCTCTGTATGCTGTGATGTGCTCTCTGTGCTATGCCGGGCTCTCTCTGTATGCTGTGATGTGCTCTCTGTGCTATGCCAGTCTTGGTTTGCTATGTTAGGCCAGACCTGCAGATGGTGGACAGGAGGGCGGCTGCAGACAGAGCTCTGGCAGAAAATCGAAGGAGCCCAAACGTGCTAAATAAAAGCCAAACGGGGAAACGAGCATGTAGCAGTCAGGATGACAGAAGAGACAGGACGTCTCAAGAGAGAAAAGGAGGGGCGGGAGAGAAGGACAGAGAGGGAGGGAAGTGATAGAGAGAGAGAAAAGAAGGGCCGGAGTAAGAGAAGGGGTGGAAATGGATAGAGAGGGCAGGAGGGAAGAGAGATAGAGGGGGGCAGAGAGACAGCAAGCATGAGGGTGAGCAAGAAAGAGAGAAAGGATAGGAGAGGAAGGGAGGGTGAGAGAGCAAAAGAGAGGGTGGAGATAGAGAAATACAGAGATTCCTGTTTTTGCAATGATTGATTTCAAGTGTTTACTCTTCATTTGTTCCAAGTCTCAAATGATGCCAAAGAAGTATGAATATACAGACAGAGAGAGAGAGAGAGAGAGAGAGAGAGGAGAAAAGGTGGGTCAATGCGGTTTAGTGAAGCGCAGACTGAAGCACAGATCCAGAGATGTTCACACACGCAGTAAACACGTGTAAATCCACACAGGCTGAAGATGACAGTTATGGGAGGACATGAGATCAGTGCACAAACACAGCAGGGGAGTCTTCCTGCTGTCCTGTACATCAAACCACATAAAGGAAGCGCAGCAGTAAACGCTCGTAATCAACAGTCAGCAGTCCCATTTCTATTATACATCACATGACAGATTTTCCTGCCGTCTGCTCCGGTAAATAAGGTTTCTACAGGGGGAGACAAGGATGAAGTATGATATGATTCCCCTCCCAACACATTACCCTGACAGGCTCTCCTCCTACTAACGATGCAAGAATACAGAAGGGAGAAATACTGCAAAAAAAATGATCAGAAAATGATCAACGATGCATACTTCCGACAGGAAATCGGCTCCTATTGTCGTGCGGCATGAAAATAATTTCATTTTCGCG